ATGCATTTTGAAAAGCCTTGGATGACGGAATTACCGACGAGTTTGGCAAAAACAATGGGATCAATGAACAGGCGTCTCTGTTTGATCGGTCTGGTCGGTAAACATTGAATTTCGACCGCCGCTATCTCAGGTCGCGCATTACCGGAGTTCGACGAGGATGTCGCCTGCCCCCCCCCCCCACATTTCCTATTGTCGCGGAGCTTTCGAGCTTTCGTCGAGCGATGGCGTAGTGAAATTTGCGCGCGCGTTTATCGACTAAGTTCTACTGCTTGAATAATCATAACTTGCGTAATGTCGAGTTCCTTTGTATTTTAGGTCAGAGAATAAAGTAAAACTATCGAGCAAAAACAATAATTGTCAGCTAGAGTGTTTGGAGATATACTTAAGCACGGAATTTTAGTCGTAGTTCGTTATCGTTTCGATAAAAATGCATTGTACCGCTGCAATGAATTATTATTACTCTATTTCTGTAGAAAACATGTAGGAGCCCACTTTGTTATTATTTCATGCCAACGGTGTTGTACGATTTCATAAATGCATTGCTCCGGACTACTCCATCCACCAATAACAGTGTAAACTCGTATGAATCGCGCGAAATTCGGTCGAGTGCGAATCGCCGTGCAACTGCGATTTAATAATGAAAATCCAGTGCGAATTCCGTATCGACACGTCCCTCCTCGCACGCGTATATTGTTATCATCGAGTTGAATTTAATATTTCGCGCGGATTTTTGCTTCGCCTCCCCCGGTCGCTGCTCCTACATTTCAACCACGAAAGAGTGAGAAATATTTTCGACTGAAGAGACATTCTTTCTCCTTCCTTTTCTTATGACTGTCTTGAGAGCCTCGGCCGTATGTATCCTCCCGGTCAAAGGATTTTTCGAGTCTGTGCGTTTTCTCAATATCTTTTAACAGCACTTTTATTCCCTGCTCGCTTGTGAGATGCTGCGATATGCCCGCTTAGGTGGAAGGAGCGAGTGTGAGGAAGAGCTGCGGGAGAGAGAGGGAGTGACAGGTCGAACGGCGGGTGGGGTGGAGGGTGGGGATACCATTCGAATAAAATCTGGTTTCCATGACGGGGGATTCCTTTTTGTATTTTACGAGGATTCCTGCAATTTTATACGTTTATATTGCGAAAAACATTCGCCTCTCCTTTTTTTTCCGTCTTTTTTCTGTCGTATCTCCCTTCTTTTTCATTGACTCACCTCTTTCTTCTCTTCGTGGGGGCTTTGTTTTTTATTCGTTTAGAAAAGCACGGCTATATAGTTTTATAACTGCGGTCTCGCCGATGACGAAAAGAACCGACTAATTACTACTCCCAATTATACATCATGAGATGAAAGCGACGAGGACGCGTTTGACTTTCATCCGAATCGTCACTTGATTTATACAAAAAATTATAATCTCAACTCTTTCGTTTGTACTCTATATTACGACGTAGTTTACCCTTAGAAAACCAACAAATGCATGGATTTGTGCATAACGAAGCTGCTCGTTCTTCTAAACGCTTGAGCTATGACTTTCCTTAAAGAATCTCGTACTGCTCGTAATTGTCCAAATTTTACATCTCTTTGCCTTTGTTTTGATTGTGCAAAGCTACCCCCTACATTTGCTTACTTTATTACTTTAGCAAAATCAAAATATAAAATGACGTGTAACGGCAAGCAATGCACCGGTGACGCTTATATGCGCGCCATCTGCGCAGGCAGTAGCATCCTTTTTATTTTGCCTGCTGTTTGTTTCTATCTTGGCCTCTCATTGAACTTTATCGATTCCTTTATTTTTCAGCTCCTCTCGTTCGTATTTATCATTTACCAAATTATTTTTCGACTCGTAGCATCACCAACACCCCTTTTCCGTGTCACTACCAGCTATATCTTCTGACCACCGACCACTCTCGTTCCTTCGCTAAATGTTTTGAATCTAAAAATATTCACCTTGCACCTAACTCCTTATTATTCATTTGCCTTTTCTTTCTTTTTTCTCTTTTTTTTCATTTTTCTTCTACTCTCCATCTCATTCGATTGCGGCTAACTTCAAAGTTTCGTTCTCGCGCGAGCCTCGTACGCTTCAGTTTCCTTTCTTTCCCACTGTCCCTTTTTTTTTATCCTTTTTAATTTGTTGCTTAGTCCTTTTTTTGTTTTTCCTATCCATATACTCGAAAGATTATGTTGCCAAGGAGGCATTATCATCGACACCAAGGATCGTGAGTTTTTACATATATTGCATTCTTGTTTTCATTGCCGTCTTCTGTCTGTTTTGCCCGTGCACGTGAGTTTACCGACTTTATTTTTGAGGTTAACTTTGCGGGTGTAGCGTCTCGTTATTTATTATAAGCACTTTGTCGTAAGACGCGCTTTTTCTTTAAAATACTTATTAGGAATCAGGTTTGTATAATTTGCTACTTTCAAATCATGAAGTTAAATATAATTTACGGGATATTAAAGTTTAAACTTTAGTTGAGGATCATTATTTATTAATATGAATTAATATGGCTCTCAATGGAAATATAATGCTTTTAATTAATAGGTGATCTATGAATTACATTGAATTTCAACTCTAATTACTCTGTAATTTTCTACACTACTTTATCGATCTTCTTGTGTTATAAAAACATAGATGAGTCTTTTATAGTCTTTTTCTAAAGGAGCTGATCGATATCTGAGCTGAAATGCATGAGTCATGCTCTTCTGTTGTTATATTTACTAAAAATTATTTTTATAAACTTTAAAAAGTACAATCATAGTAAAAGAACAAAATGTATATCCCGTAGAAAAGACTCAATTTTTTGTCCCAAGATTAGTATTTTATTTCAAATATATTTAATATTTTTTTGTTCAGTTAAGTAAGAATATTAAGTATAGATTATTTATTTAAAATAATTATTTTATTGTAAATTAATTAAGTATATCACCAAGCATTCGTCACTTATAAATTTTTTTTAATAATCAGTGAGCATAAAATTCTTTGTCAGTGCAATCTGCAAGTGGTTGGAGTCCTGGGTATATCGATCCATTCTCCAAATGCTTCCACCCCAATGTTTGAATGTGTGTGTAAGACTGGCATCAGTCCTGGTCAGGATGCAAGCTACAGTACGTTCAGTTTACTTTTGGACGCTACGTAGTCACTATCACATTTAACAAAGCGACTCAAATTTATATAGGCTATTAAATTCATATTTCTTTTATAAAAATAAACTGTTTATAAAGATATTATTTTAGAAAAGAAAGAGAACAAGAAATTATATCTTACAGGATTGTGCATCAAAATGGTATGTACACTAGTGGTTCTAGACCCTCTAACTCAGGTATGAATGCAGTCGACTGAAACAATTCATTATGACAGCTTTTCATACTTCGTTCTTTCCTCTCTTTCTCTCTTTATATCTCTCTATATTATCATTTTTCCTACAGAATTTTTTCTTTGTCTTTTTATTAAAATATGCTTGTATAAAATTTCAAAACAAGAGAATTTGAATAATTTTCCTTTCTGTTTCTTAATTTGTTCTGCCCTTATCATTATGAGTAGTAGCAGTAAAATAATTTTAAGATTATGGATATTTTTTATTGTATATACATAATTAAGTAAAATACTTTATTGGTTTTAAGTTACCTAGTTCACAAGTTTATTATCTAAAAATTGTAATGATTATAATAACAAAATAAGTATTTGATGATATTTATAGATACCAATTTACTTAACGATAAATACATTTTTTGTGATAAATTTGATTTTAAGATAACCAAATTATTTAAAGTATATTGAATGGGCTTGTAAAAATGGAAGTAATTGACAAACTTTAATTTAGTTTTTTAATTATTGTTTATTTAGACGATATACCAGCTGTCATTATATAAGATTAAGGTTATAAAATTAATTAAATATATTTATTTATTTAGGTACCTGTTTTTAAATTTTTGAGGTTACACATTATCAAAGTGAAACTTATGTATCTATTAAAAATATATTTCTATAGGCGGAGCATGATAATATATAGAATTTTAAAAAGATAATAGCATATTTTGAGACTAGGATATTATTATTGAATTTTCTTTTCTTTTATTCTTTTCTTTCCTTTTTTTCTGTCCCTGTTGTTTCTTTAGTTATAATAGAAAGGATCCATCGATATGTCCATACATCATTTCACTCATTGGTTTGTCAAGGATTATTTTTCTGACTAGAAGATACATTCGCTCATCATTTTTGCCTCCGATCAATATCAGCGACTACAAAAGGTGGCTGCGCAGTGCAAAGCCACTAGAGTAGAGATTTCCAGTTGGGGGTAAGAAAGCTTAGGTGGTTGGAATATACAGCCTTGGATTGGCTACCCCTCTTTTTCCACTGCTTTGGTATCCCATCCAAAAAATGGGCTTACTGGCTTCCATAAGTGGCATACGAGTCACGATGAAGTACTGAGTTGAGCTCTATCGATCCATTGCTCGGAGAATTCTAGTTGCAATGCTCCAGAGCAGCCATTATAATACTTATAAGCTAGTAAATCAATACTGTGAAATTCAACTTGAACGAATGATGAACCTTTTTATTATTTTGAGTTTCAAAATCTATTTTAAACTACTAAGATTGAGTTTAAATTAGAGGCAAATAATTCTTAAGAAATATTGTATTGAATTTATAATGCGAATGATAAAAATTGTACCCAATTAATTATTTTATTTAATCACTGACTATAGTTAAATATATTAATTTCATATTACTTTTATTTCAATATATTTTGCTACATTAACATTATGGTTCATTAAAATTTTCTATTTAATAGTTTTTAATATAAATAAGATCTAGTTTGAGACAATCAACATTTTTACATTGGTACATGCAAGGATATGAGACATTTTACAAGAATTATTCTCATTGTTATTATGTTTTTTCTCTTCTTCTTCTTCTTATTATTATTATTTATTGTTTCTTATAATATAATGCTATTGTTATTGTTGTAAAAATGCAGACAAAATAATTATGGTAACTCTTTACATTGTGTTCCAGGTTCAGACTAGCCATGTCCAGTAAGTGGCGTCGTGCATCGAAATTCAGCATAGACAGGAAAGCAGTACGCGCTAGTCGCGAGAGATAGAATGAGTGGACCTCGACCATCCGAATTACGCTGCTTCAACGAGAATTCTCCCAGGCCCCCTGTTCCTGGTAAGCTACCCATTAAATCCAAGAAAATATCTTGAAAATGAATACTCGGCCCAACCGATGGCTTAGGTAGTATTTGTGGAGAGTATTCGTCGGTTTAAAGTCAAGTGAATTACGGTATAATAACTGTCAATCTAAGGTCCTAGCACTTGGTTCCAAATTTCGACTTCATTTCAATGTATTCTTAGTCAACTGTTAGTGGCGATGAAAAGACAGTGCTAAGCAGCAATGTGCATTTGTAATCTGTTGTGGTAGGTGAGGAAAGGGGCGTCTACGTAGGCAGATGTCCATCGAGTCCGGATTTCCAGCTCCGGCGCTCGACTTGCGATGCCACTTGCGCGCCTTTGGGTTTCGAGTTGGGGGGTCGCTGCGACCGTGCCGTCGACATGGAGGAAAGGAGCGATTCAACCTCGCGGTTGGCATGCTTACAATGGACGAGAAGCCTTCACGCCCTGTTGGAGGACCCAAAGGGCCTCGAACTCTTCGAGCACTATCTTCAGCAAGAAGGACACACGTACGCGCTCTCCTTTTGGTTCGCCTGCGAGGGCCTTAAGGAGGAACGCGATCCCAACAAGCTCACCGCCATTATTAAGGTTCTCATTAGAAGGTACGTCGGAAATGCAGGAGCTCCGTATGTTATTATTTTTATGTATTCGATAAGTAGTGGGTCGTTGGAAGATTTTATATTGATTTCAAACTTAAGTTGTTAAGATCCAATATTTTAGAAAGAAAACTTAAATATAGGGTCATGTCAATCGGCGATATTATTGATAATTTAGAATAGACGAGTAAGCGGCTCGATGACATTTGACCTTCTATATTATTATGAAAAATCCATCGATCAGCATTAATAACTATTGAACAAAACATGTAAAATTAAAAAAAAAGTTGTACTATCGTTATTTTGAGAATAGTGAGGATCTTTGAAAAATCACTATATGCAATATAGAAATAATTTTTATTAAAAGTTGTATTGGTCGAGTACTTAGTACTTCTAAAACATTAGAGACAGTAAGTTAAAACTTTCAAAAAAGCATAATATTGCTAATTAGGAAAAATAACCAGCGCCAGTCATTGGATTAATATCCTTGGCATAAGCCGTAACGAACACAAAACCTAAAAGAGATCGAATGCTTTTCCTGTTTAGGTTCTTCCAGAGGCCGCAGCTAGCGCTTCCCGAGGACGTACGCAAGGAGATGAGTCGGCGGGTGCGCGAGGGACTCGCCGATAAGCGAATGTTCGACTTGGCGCAGCGCGAGGTCGAGCGCCTGATCGAAGAGACGACTTACCCGAATTTTTTGCGCTCCGACGTTTATCTGCAGTATGTGCGATACTGCCAGTGCGCGGAGTTGAGCACTGACTGTCAAAGGCGGCCAGGCCATGATAACGAGCACGAGGATGTCGTCGAGGACGACGAATGTCCAAGCTCCTCGGAAGAACCCTCGATATCCTGCATTTCTAACTTACTGCCAACGCTACACGAAGATAGTGAGTATATGAAACATTAGCCGTTTGTATTGTTTTTCTTCTCTACTTCCTCCTCCCCCTTCCACTCTCCATTATCATAATTCAAATACCATTCATTTACATTTTACACTTAGCACCTGTTTGGTACTTTAAATTACTTTTTTTTGAAAAGAAGCAATTAACTTCGTGGACTTTTTTGTCAATAGCTTAATAATCGTTAAATTAACTCCGTAATGATCGAACTTTTGATAATCTCTTTCTTTAATCCTCAAAGGTGAATTTACGTCGCAACAGCAACAGCAGCAGCAGCAGCAGCTACATCATCATCACCATCATCACGCGCATATGCAGCAACAGCATCATCATCATCCATCAACTGAATTTAATAAGGGGGAGATGAGACTGACCAAAGACATCCTTATGGCTACGCAGCAGCTCAGGGCTCTCGACGTCAGACCCAAGCCAGAGGCTTTCGCTGGGTAAGAAGTCTGCATCCTTTGACCACAGCTATTATTCATCCTGCCTACAATTGCAACATTTATACGGATCCTAATGTGACTTAATAATTATTGTTGCTAGTATTAATATATGTAGTTGTTTTTATTGTCATTATTATTATTATTATTATTATTATTATTATTATTATTATTGTTGTTGTTGTTATTGTTCTTATTGCTAATCTTGTGATTGTTGTTGTCGTCGTCGTCGTCGTCGTCGTTGTTATTATTGTTGTTGTTATTTATGTATCTTTGTTTAATTTGATATTAATTAATTCCTGCGTTCATAATTAATCGCCGAAAGAATGTCGAAAAGTATTTAATGGTCCCGCGTTGTTAAATGCAGTCTTTGACAATTTTTCATTATAAGCTTATTATTAACGTCGTGCAACACAACACAAGAACGTTAAGATTACGTATTATAATATATTAGTGGCACGCGCATTCTTAAGTATACATTGGCGTAACGCACGCTAAGAGTAAAAGAAAAATCCTCATTCCGTCCTCATGAATCACCAAATCCCCTTTTTAATATTTTGTCATAATATTTTAATTTGTTTGTTTTATTATTTTATCGTTGTCCCTGCCTGTGCCTCGCTTGCGTGTGAATGAGAGTAGCCTTTACCTGCAACCCGGAGCTAGTCCTTACCATGCGTCGGTGCCGAGACCGCGTGCACAATACTCGTCGTATAATCCGGTCTCCAGGCAAGACTCGGAGCTCCAGAGCTTGAGCAGCGACGCTCGCACCGAGTCCGACAATCTCTCCCTCACTGACGCGTCTCTGTAAGTTTATTTTTATTTTTCGTTTTAATTTTAACTTTAACTTTAACTTCATTGTTAATTCCAATTCAACTTTTAGTTTTTTTACACATACGTACATAGACTTTTAAGGATCAGTTTTGACACTTTATTTAATCGGGATTGCAATTCTTTTTTAGTCCCAGATATATAAAAAAAAATTCGATTATTTTATCCTACTGCTTTTAATGTTACACGCAAGTAGTTTGAATGTAAAATTATTTAAAATATTATTTTCAAATATAGATTAATAATGAAATCATATTAAAAGTAGTTGCAAAAGTTTCAAAAACAAAAAACAAATGAGATCGATTAAGAATTCAATGTAGAGCTTCAATGATTTGAAATTATCACTTTGTTAATTAAATTATTAAATATACTTTTTCATTTATACATTTACATCAATCGTCAACCTTTATTTATTCGATTTTTTAATGACAACGAAAAAATTTATTCCGCATAAATAATATCTGATAATACTGCATTAATAGAATAGAACAAAAAGGCATTCATTGTTCGTTTATAATTGAAGAAATAATGGTTCAAAACGAATATTATTTATTAAATACCCCATCGAAAACATAATATTAAAATCTTCAAAAATCTGTGTACTGTGTGCTTTATCAAACATGAAACCAAAGGCCAAATGTTGCTACTATTTGATAGCTATTGTTTAACGAATCTTTAGCAAAGTGACAAAATACGGCAAAACTTTGCAATCTTTGAAATCAAATGTAAATTGAGATTCTAAAGACACGATTGTCATTTGATTCGTTTTAGATGTTCACTTGTTTATTTGTTTTTATTTTGATAACGGCAATAAATAACGAAATATTCAACAAGTTCAAGAAGCATTCCTGAAGAAAAAAAGTTAAAAGCTTATTATCCATTTATTTTGCAATAGCGTGCATTGGACCATTTGAGATTTACGAATTCAATTAGCATACAATAGAAGCAGCATAATCGGGAACCAATAGAAATAATAAAGTATAAGCGTCGTTTAACCTAACTCTCGATCACCTTAAATCCAAAAGTCTTTTGGCTCGTAACTTTAAATTACCAAGTAGTCAAATAACGACAGCCCAGGGCTTCAAACAGCAACAGAAAGAAAAACCCCACAAAAGTAGCATCCCCCTTCATTAATCCCATTGATATATAAGCAAATAATAACTAAAACAATTTCAAAAATACGAAAAATAAAAACAATAGCGATGGTGCCTCGATGTCGAAACGCAACACACGGAAGCAGTACATAAGGCAGTGCCAGGCGATGAAGAAGTCGGCGATGATTAATTGTGATCCTGTCGGCCATGAGAGTATCATACCAAGGACGCAGCGGGTGTCGCGCGAGCAGACGCAGCCAATGAAGCCGGAGTCGTTCGCGCGTCAGTTGATTGAGAAGCTCGAGCGCGTCAAGCGCGACCGGGAGAACGAGGAAAAGCTCGAGCGCAAGCTCAAGGAAGTTGACATGTCCACCAGTCAAAGGTATAAACGCGTATTCGAGCAAGTAATCGTTAAATTGGCTAGAATGAATCAGAGTTTTCTTTTCTCGGTCATGCATAAGCTAAAAGTATCGTACGGGGCTCGTTGATCGCTTGTCCCAATTCTTTGAAGCATATTTGTGCTTCTAAGCCACAGCAGGAGGTGATAATTTTATAAAAACAGCAGCGCTTATGAAACGAACTCTGTTGCAATTGAATGAAATTGAAAAATTCAGAAATCTAGCTTTTTTAATTTATTTATTTATAGATGGATATATAGTGTATATACATTTGTATATATAGATATATCTTTTAATATGGAATTTCTTTTCTTTAATAATATAAAACAATGCTCAATTACTAATGTAGTTAATAATTTAGTATTTAGAGATGATATATTTATGTTGATACTTTCGAACACTATATTGTCGATGATATTGTGTTATGTACTTAAAACAATTTATTACGAAGTATTATTTAATTTCATTTTCATTTTTTTAACATTAAAATAAATTACAAGAAGCCACTTTATCATTGATCGAAGATAAATATTGAGTTAAATTTTAATAAGTTAATGTTCATCGATTGCGTATTTACTAAGTAAGAAGCAAGATAACGATTTACTGAATACACATAATCAAGAGCTCAGTGTCAAAAAAGTCGCAAGTAAATGTAATTAGACGTCTTTTGTTCATTATTATTAAGTATGTGTTCATGTTTATTTAATTGGTCGTTGTAAATAGAATTATTGGACATCGGTAATTTTTAATCAGATCACAATCTTAATCTGCACAGCCTCTGACGTATTTGAGTCTTTAATTTTCGTTTTACGATATATCGAACACTATCTCGAAGTCTTCATATGCTCTTTCTTAACAACGTGTTTTCCGTTCATAACAGCGATGGGCTTTGTGACTCCTCGGGTACGCCGAGCTCGGGTCCGGCAATGATTCCGTCTTCTATGGGTGGCTCAGCGCTTCCAGGGCCAAATTGCGGCCAGCAGTCGCGTAGTCTCGCCGAGGCTCTCCGCGAGAAGCTGCAGCTTGAGGAGGACAGCGATCAAGCCATCCTCGACCAGCACGTTTCGCGGGTCTGGTCAGATCTCACACCCTCACGCTCACCTAAACTCGCCTCACCTCGGCCCCGATCACCCGACAAGTGCCGCCGTCAACAGCTACAACAGCAACAACAGCAGCATCATCATCATCAACAGCAGCAACAGCAGCAGCAGCTACAACAACAGCAACAGCAGCAACAACAGCAACAGCAGCAGCTTCAACAGCAGCAGCATCACCATCAGCAACAGCAGCAGCAGCAGATCCAACAGCATCAACAGGTGGGAAACGGAGGACTTGGGATTGCGAACAGTCATCAATACCCCTCGAGGCCATCATCGCACCGTAGTCAACGCAAGGAGAAGGACGTGTTCTCGACCTTCTCCGGGGATAGTGGTAACGTACACGACTTTCCGGAAGCCGGCGAGTTACACGGGGCCGGGAGTATGAGCTCCCTTGGCTCGCATTTACCCAAGAGCAAGTCCGTACCATCCGATTACGCCGATTCGCTACGTAAGCAAGACCTTTACCTACAAGGTACAATAACTCGATGATTCGTTTACTTCTTGAAAGATACTCGTGGCACACTATATACATCGACCGTGTATATATATATATATATAGATTACTCGTACAAAATAATAAAAAACTTATTAAATTTCGAGACTATTCATATAGCCAATCAACAGTTGCTTGTATTCATTGTTCATAATCGGTAGTCGCATAAAAATTATCGATATAGTTATATACCCTTAAGCTAAAGATGAGCGACAAAATATAAGTAAAATTGATGGGCCTCTAACGTAAAATTTTCGCTCCCCTTGTAAGCAGGTCAAGATCAAAGATATCGAAGACTGGACGCTACGCGGTCTTCAGCGACGAAGAAATCGATGACTGAATTGACGGATAGCGGCGTCTCCGTGGTGAGTGATGTGCCGCCCGCGGCGGTCAAGGATAGCCGGCTCCTCAACTGGTTAAAAGAGACGGATGGGAGCGGATCCGGAGGCTCTGGTAAGGCGGAGACCAACGTCAACGCGAAGCTCAACCGGAAAAAATTCAGCAACCTCCCTCAGCAGCCCTTCGTCGGCGATCCCGGCATGCCACTTCTTCCGCAACCACATACTGTGAGTATTCTGGATTCTCGTATAAAAATCAGCTGTATATCTATCCTACCATTTTCTTAATTATTTTTAATTAATTAATCCTTCTCACCGATTGGTGCGCTTTCAAAAATATTTTATCCATTGTAGTTTATTCAAAGCATAATTACTGTTTTTCCCGCGTGTACGTACGTGCGAATTACGTGCCCGTGGTGATTGAGCTAAATAACGTAAGCGAAGCGACTTAATGACACGCCTGATTGCCAACAAAAATCAATGACTTTATTGATGATAATTTTTGTTATCTAGGCGACACAATTGGAGGAGGCAAAAAGAAGGTTGGAGTATGAACAGAATCGGAACAGGTTGCGATACCCGAGCGGCGGTAATGGTGGTAGCGGTGGTGGTGGTGGCGGCGGCGGCAGCGGCGGCGGCGGTGGAGGTGGCTGTGGCGTCAGTGGTAGTGGCAGTGGTGGTGGCAGCGGAAACGGCTTCGGTGGTGGTGGGGCCAAACAACAGTTGGATTATGAGCTTATGCCGCCAATGCAGTCCTGTATGCAGTCCAATCAATCGACGCTCAGACGAACGAAGCAGGACGCCACTGTAGATTTCACCACCGTTGTGTTCAGCTTTTGCGACGAAAAGGTGCCCTATAGAACCAAAATACCCGGCTACAACGTCACCCTCAAGCAATTCAAAGATGTTCTACCTAAGAAGGGCAGCTACAGGTAAGATCGATTTTTTCTTTTACTTACAATCCCTTCACGAGTATTCATTAGTCAAAAGTTAGAAAGTGTAAATATTAATTTTCTTATTCGTATAATTGGCGCAACTTTATTTCAATATTTATTATGAGAGAGCGGTAAATAAATGAAGTTTATATTGTAATGAGTAAAACGATTGTTTAAATGCTCATGTCCTTTGTCTTTCATCCAATAGGCAGAAAACTATTGCTTATGTATTTGAAAGTAAAAGTTATGTTTTTTTGAATATTATATAAATACTAGTGTCGAGACCGCGAGAATGTAATTTTTATAAAACTTCCTATTAAAAGCGCTATTATGGCACGAGTAAATAAAAAAATCCTAACTTGTTGCAGATACTTCTTTAAAACCGAGTGCGAGGACTTGGATATGAAAGTAATTCAGGAAGAGATAACCGACGACACCGAGGTTCTGCCGCTTTGGGAAGGCAAGGTTATGGCGCAGGTGAAGGCGCTCGAATAGAAATTTACATTTTTTTGGAGCACGTATTAACTCGCGGCCTTCATTTCTTCGTCGTTCGTCGAACGTCAGTCGATAATGAATGTACCGGGGTGAGCAATTGGATGGGGGGAGGGGCACAATTGCGAAGACAGACGTTCTTTGTGGAATTTTGATAAGAGCAAAATGGATACCAGCGAAGTAACGTAACGAAAATGCAAGGATCCGTTCAAGAGTTAATTATGTTAATTACATAATGAATGAAGGAAACGGTCTAACATTACAATGATGAACATTTTGTTTATTATTTTTTTAATTACTTTGTAAGCGAATATAGCGAGAACGATTGCAAAAACACAAGCATAAGAGAGCGAAGTCTTGAGTGAAAATACTTTTGTGGAGCTGAGATTTTGGAAAATTTTATATAGGGCTATTGGGAGGACCGCGAACAACCAGGCGGCGACGAGTACGTATCTAGAGCGTGTACATAATTATAATTGTATGTATTAATTTTAAAATTCTAAACGTATGGTAATGATAAAGAGATCTTACATTATTCCAAGAAATAGAGCTAAAAATTTAATTTCTTATCCGGGTATCCTTCGTAATTCCTTATCTTATTTTTATAATCTTAAAAAACGATACCACGATTAATATTTTATTATTGTAAAGAACTTTATTTAATGCTATTAATGTAATTATAAAATAAAGTATTTATTCGTGAAAGAAAATACACAAAATATTTTCCTCACAATTCGACAAAAGTATTTTGTACCGGGAATTTACGTGGTTTCGGTTCATAATGTACATAATAACGAACGAAATAAGAATAACTAAATCCCAGAACAAGCTATTAACGAGAGTAAAAAATTGAATATTAAAAAGAATCAGACGCTTCTTTTATATCACTAATTTTTCTTCTCGTCGAGAGACTTGATAAGTACGGTTCACCTCTTTATAATAATCATTATTATCATCGTCGTCGTCATTATCATCATCATCATCTTCATCATCATCATCATATCATCATTATTACTATTATTATTATCATTATTACAATTATTATTATTATTATTATATTATATTATTATATTATATTATTATATTATTATTGATATTAATAGTAATATTAATATTATTGTCTTCGACCGACTGTACAAAGAGCTTGCGTAGTTAATCGCCTTATCGAGGTCTGCCATGGACCCTAGATTTTACATAGGGAAAAAAAATTATACGAACAAGAAAAAAAGGTTAGTCGATAAGGTTATAGATATTATGTATATTATATATACATACGTTATCTAAGTTATATATAATATGTATAATATATTATATATATATATATATGCGTATGTTTGTGTGAGCGTTCTGCGTGTATGTATGCGTGCGTGCGTGTGTGTATTTATGCATACACATATGAACCAGCATTGATGCTCTCTTTTCACGGGCGTGTGGTAAAATTGAAAGAAAATTTAATATGGGATACCCGTGAATCGAGAAGCCGAGCAAAAAAATAAAAGAAAGAGTCAGCACATCGAAAATTGTCGGTACATCGACATTGTGCCGAGTTTGAATCGTCGAATCGTATTGCAACATACAGACCGTACGCAATTTAAAAACGAAAAATGAACAAAAGTATATTCGAATGAGAAAAAGAAAAGACGCAATCGATTTTTTAAAGTATGACTTTGGTATTCTTTTCTACTTAAGGTTATAAATTAAATAATTTAAATTTACAATTATTATACAAAAGTGTTACTTTAATAAAAATTATGTTTTCAGATTTTTATTTTTATACCATTTAAACGCCACTGTATTTCAAAATGTATAAAAGCAAGATTTAATCAATCAGATGGATTTCTGATTTATTAAAACATTATTTTAGAACGTGAGAAGTACATAATTTATTGGTCCATCCTATTAAAATTTGAAAATATCCCAATAGAATAATGAGAAATGTAATCAATTTCGAAGAAATTTCAATTAAATTATTATAATATTTTATTGATGCATAACAAGGATATTTCTTTAATCGATAGTGATTAATTTTTCAATAAATTTTAATAAATTTAACGTTAGCGTATAGACTAGTTTTTAGCTCCACTCGGTCTTTCCGCTACACACAATTTACAATGATTTTTCCATTTAAAATTTATATACTATTTTTTTTCTTTTAATAAATAAAAAATTTATAAATACAATCATTATTAGATACAATTTGTACAAAATCATAAAGTATTAAAAAAAGATTACAAGAGTCATATTTTAATAGGAATTATTTGCATTGAAGAATTGAATACGACAGAAACAAAAGTATATGAAATTTTTCTCCATTGCGCACCAAAACTTTCAAGCGCCTATAAAACAATATACGAACGTTGATCTCTTCGTGCGAACTTTTCTTATTCGGGTGCGGAAAATTGTGCCTTTTTAGTGCAGTAAGCCGTCAAACGTAAGCCTAAGCTGCGGCTGTGCGTTTTATTTGTTCTTTTTTTTCAAAGTAAAGACAAGTTTCTGCTACCTTAGCTTGCAGCGGAGCGGACGGCCAATGTTATGCTCAACCATAATATTATCCTACTTTTTCTTATATTTTTTTTCTTTATTGCATTTTTTTAAATGGAAAAAATTTCGCAACAATATTTGTACCTGGTATTATTTAGTTGACACGTTAAGAACGCACAGCTCCTAATAATTATTTAAAAATGAACGTTTTAAGAAATTATACGATGTATACAAATTTCTTTTATAAACTCTCGAACAACTTATTTAGATATGTAATAAATGTATGTCGCGGCGTTTTATTTCTTTTCTTTTTCATCGAATTTTTGGCCTTCAGTAAAGCTGAAAATTCTTACTGTAACGTTCTCCGCTGTGCATAATATTGCAAATGAATGTCCAAGCTTGACAAATTTGTTAAACTATAGCGTAGCCAATAACGTTTCGTTCTCTTTCTTTTTTTTTTTTTTTTTTTTCGTAATTTTACGACTACAATGCAATTGCTCGTTATTTATATTGCAATTCGATGGTTTGGTATCCGGTATTATCGCAGATTTCTACAACACCTACGCAGTAATGCTCCATTAAAATATACCAATGTCATAAATTTAATAAAGCAATAAAAAGTAATTGACCAATGGTTAAAGATGAGGCAAAAAATGTCGAAAGTTGCCGGGTATCTGTCGTTAATTAGGTATAATATGAAACCTGTGCTTAGTATGTGGGTGCCAATTCACCATGCTACAATATCATAAATGATAAATTGTTCCTGTATCTAATTGATTTATAATAATAATTATTATTGTATATCGAGAGCATTCAGGATAATAATAATGCGATTTTCACTGGAACTACAAGTGTCATTATCTTTTATTTTTGTTTTTTGAAATATACTCCTCTTCCTCAGTTTCAATTGGTAACGCAACCTCATTTTAATGTTTAATTAATTAGCCAACATTCTAAATCGACTATAGTAATTTAATGCACAAGATTACATTCTTATAAAATATTTCAATTGAAAAATATAAAGAATGCAAATGTCGAATTCATGTTGTAAATTTAGAAAAGAATCGATGCTATTTTTATCAAAAATATGAAAATTTCAAATCATGCTTAAACTTTGACGTTATTTTTTACAATCTTACATTATTACGTATTAATGAATAAGTGAAAGAAAAACTTGGCTTTCGGGATTCTAGAATTTATAAGCGATAGTAAAAATTCTTCATTATTAAAAATGTAAAATGTCTTCAGAAATAGTTCGTTATTATTATTAGTATTATTCTGTTAATTATTACTAGTTAAGAAAATTTCAAGTGCCAATGCTAATATTATTATTGCATAATTCTTAAATATTGGGCTTATCTAAGTTGGGCCAATAAACTTTTTGCGAAGGTCGTATCGACTATTAAATATCAACAATGTTGAAAGATGCAAATACGCTTTTATCGTATTTTATCGGTTGAAGTCATTATATTATTTATTTATTATCAATAGATGTCACCACTAAATAAAATAAAAGTTGCTATCCAATATTGTCGATTCATATTCCATATTTGTATATATTGAAGTAAAGAGAGGGCCAACTATTTTCATTAGCAATATCTAAGCCTTTATGATTTAATTATCAGCTACTAATTTTGAAAAGAAAGTTTAAGTTTCGTCATTAATTATTCCATATTCAGTATATAAAATTTATTTTAAATAAATAACAAAGCTAATTGGAAATAATGAAGTAATTAATTTATATCTATGAAAATAATCATAATATGATTAAATGCTTATACTTTTAACCTTTATGCATATAAAATAGATTTCTTTTACAATAATGGTCCTTTCCCTTCTTCCCTTTTGTTTCTTTAAAAAAACATTTACTCAATATATAATTTTTACACTATTTATTGCCAAAAATTATAACAAATAAAATATTATATTTCTTAATCTCGAAGTATGTTACAAAAATTTCTATTAATATTTGATAATGCGTTATTTATTTATTTTGTTTGTTGTTGATGACAAATTACATTCAATTATTTGAATGATTTTACAAGCAAGCAATAGGAAACGTGTTAAAAAATTAATTATATATTCTATACGGATTAGCATTATGTAATATTAATATTATTTACGTAAGCTAAAGTCCATAAAGTCATTAAAGTGCATTATTAAAAATTCTCGGTTACAATATTCAAATTACGATTGTTAAAATAATTTTATTAAGAGCTATATATCGAAAGTATAAAATAGAAGGCTTTGAAAGTGACAATTATGTTAAACAATTCAGTCTCGTTATGGATAAAATTTACGAATCTAAAATCATAGGTAATTTATAGAGCACACAGTTTATGTAAAAATCCAAAAAATAATTTAAATTTAAATAGATATCCAATAATACATATTAAAAGTTTATTATTATAATAAAATCTATAATTACATACGAATATGAGAAAATTTAATAACAGATAATTCATATTATTAGGTGAAAATATATTTACAGTTGCTGAATAATTTTAATTGAATTAAAGTATCAATCTGAAAAAATTTTAACTACAAATATTAGTTTAATCTAAAGACAATCCACGTGAAAATGTATAAAAAAGTATTAAAATACTTTTG